AGCCATAAAACAGACGTGGAAAAGTAGAAGACTTTGACGAAATATATGTAAAGGACATATATATCGGAGAAAAATTGGAGAAGTGAAATCTGGAAGAATAACGGAAGATAATCGAATCTGAGCTCTAGCAGGAAGTTGGATGTATTCGGAGATTGTTCGTCACTTAATGAATTTGTCGTCGAGGACGACAAATCCATTAATAGCACGAGGACCGACATCTGCTGCTATGCGTCTGCGTGTGGCGTGTATGTATCCGACGCTGAGCTGTTGACGGATGTGGTGAAGGAGATAGAGAACAGAACGCAATAGGGGGGTACACCGCTTTAACCTCACACAACCATTACGGACATAACTAGACAAATCGCTGGAGTGTAACAAATGGACAGTAAGACCTAAGGACATTGAATAGAGAATGTTAAGATGTAGAATTTTTTTTGTACTCTTTATTGGACAATGTTATTCTCAAACGATGTGTCACACAAAGTGGACTTATCAACTACAAAAAGCAAGGTTGTAGAGAATTATGCAAATTATACAAAACATCAAGCGAATGTGGCGACGTGGTTAGATGTGCACTGCGTAGCACAAAAGGTCGACAGTTCGATCTTGTGCTCATGGCTCACCAAGTATTTCATTCCTCTAGGGTCAATAAATTGGTACTCGAGTGATTTTGTTTCAGAATTGTCTGGGAGATAAGCAGCACGGACTCGATGCAGCGGGAGGGCACCGCGAGCCAATATAAGGGCCAAATAACTTTATCCTTTATCCTTTTTATACAAAAACATCAGGTATTCCTTTTAGTTTGCAGATGATTGCTACTATGCCGTGGATTCGGTGTCGTTATATTGTCTCATGTAGTCGGAAGAAACTGCAGTAGAATCCTGGGAAAAAGACAGCGACTGGCTTTCTGAATCACTAGGGACTGTGACTGTTTGTTGATGCTGAGCTGCGAACGACCCAGCAGAATGAATATCTTGGGATTTCAGTAAAAACTATGGGCTGGGTTAGCTAGCACCCAACATATCACTGAGGAGGAAGGAGACAGATGCTCAAGCTGTCGCTGATTACCTACAGACGGGCACGAAATATGCGACGATGAACGAATAACCCATGAGGAGTGGCATTTGCTGCGTCAAAGTTACTATTTTTGCGTCTCGGCAACGTAATTAAGGAAGTTCAAAATTTAAGAAGAGGATCAACTTTACCAAGAGTCCAACGATCGCTAGTCTTATGTGGTTAGACTCAGTCGTTGCGAAAGCAACATGATGATTGTCGCGCCTGGATTGGTTTCATCTTTCGTAATGCATAATAAATAATTGCCTTCGTTTACTTTCAATAAACGTCTTGCGCTTCCTTCTGTGTATTGCATAGACTCTCTTTATGGATGTAAAATAAACAAATGCATCGCCCAAAGGTTGAAACAGCTCTCATAACTAGAATGTAGAGTGATTATACGATAACCTCAAACAATCAAAGCATTTTGCACGAAAAGATACAATGACAAGTCAACTGCAGACATTCTGCTACCGAATGCTGGTATGAATGGCAGACCTCCAAATGGTATGACCAAACAGATTTGATGCTTCGGAAAGATAACGCAACGCTGATTCTAGCATCTCCCTCTGGGCCATTCAGATTTCAATATTCATTTCGCATATAATCAAAGAAATTCGGACAAAGAAGGATGTAATTTTTAATTTTGGTTTTGTGGAATTTTTCATAGTTAGTATGTCTTTCATGAGAGTGATTTGGCTTGCAGAAATAATCTTGTTTAGACTATTCCATTAAGACCTCTGTATTCTTGTTCAGCTGTTTTTTCGGCAGCCATGTTGTTAGCATATTGTAATTTTATTGCGATAGAACATAAAACTTTCCCAGAATAAGCTCAAGAATTTGAACTTTATGTGATGTCACGACATTTCCGATTATTTCCAAATTCTTACTAGTTACTTTTTCGTAAAACAGGATGCGTGTAGCTCAGTGGTGAAGGGGGTCCTTCCAATACATCCTGAATCAGTCACTGGTTCCGTTTCTCTCCTCATGCTCACTAAGCCTTCTTCCATATCTCAAGACTCAGTGGATCACCACCACACTTTTCTAGGAGGATGAAATAACTAACTTTATAATTACTGTTTTTCTTCTTTAAGCAAAACACGAGGTGTTATAATAAAATTTAATTCACAGCTGACGTTTCGGCAGTTCGCCTTCTCAGAGCCGCTTTTTATATGTGTTCCACTGAATGATTCAACTAACTTTATAGTTTGTGAGGCCTCTTAAAAACCTTGTGTATGCCAGATATCATTAAATCAGCACCAGTGTATTAGAAATGGCATCGTTCGCAACGCATATTCAGAAGGATTGTCTAACATCAGGAGTCTTATTTTTCATGTACTTCGAGCACCATAACATACTCCAGAATTCTTTATAAGCTTGAAATTGATACCGACTGTTTCACCTTCACCTCTGAATAAAATGTGCGTTCACTTTTGCTTTCGGCGTATTTTTTCTGTATCATATCCAGGATTTCTATGAATAGTGTACTTTGATGAACAATTTGACAGTCTTTGAAAAAACTACCAAGATTGGTTTTTTCTCCAGTTGACGTAAGTTCTCAATAACTAGCATATTCAAACCCTCCATGGACGTTTAGCAGATTATAAAAGAACATTTTTTCTACAGTCTCATGAAATATTCTTTCACTTTGTTTATGTCTAGACAAAAAATCTCAGAAGAAAAAACTGAACGCAAAATTCATTTCCGAAGAACTTCGATGCAAACTTGGCAAACGCAAAAACTACTTATACATCTGGGAATGGTGTCTTATCGCTCATACTGGACGAAATCCGGCTCTTCCACTTGTTTTAGATTAAAACAGAGAAACTTTGAGAAAGAAAGTTAGAAACGCTTTCCATATGCATCAAAAAATTTGAATTCCTCTAGAGTAAAAAAAATCTGAGTCCAATAAGCAGGAAGTGCAGATTCTGATGGTTTTAGTTTCAGTCAATAAAGTTTATTAGGAGCTGAGAAATGTTGGTATGGTCAAGATTCAGTCATCTGTTGTAGGTTGTGTACATTACACTCGATGGACGCTACTTAATACCACAACTTAGCTTGCTACCAGAAAATGAACCGTTGCGCGTTCTTCTGACAAATTCTGCCTAAAAAGAGATGCCCTAAAGCACCGCATTGTGATCCAACTTGGTTCTAAAGTTGTCTCAACCTCAGAAGTGTTTTGCTCAAAGATTCTTTATAGATATGCAGATTTTTTAGGATCGCACTCGCTATCAATAAATGAAAGGTTGAATGTCCAATCAGCTACCATTTCCTCTCAATGAATAGCAATAACCACAACAATAAAAACGTCAACCGAGGATGACGAGAAACGAAATGTAAATTCTGTGACTAACGGTAGAGGAAACCAACAAATCAATGACTTGTCGTTTGTAAATAAAATAGCGAATAGATTGAATTTAGCAAATTTATAAATAAACTAAAAACTCCAACCTATTGTGGCTGTCGTAAAGACTTAGACAGCATACGTAAATGCCGATTTATTCCTCATCAGCATCGTTTCACCCAACTCTTTAGGACCGGTGTGCGTACCTCCGAGTGCATTATAATTTAGGGCTTCCCGTTGCTCAAAGTTTTTCTCCTAGAGCTTTAATAATTATTCCATAGCTTGAGAAATGGTAATTTAAATTACTGTGCTTAGCCTCCGGAAAAGTCTTCTAAGTGCCCTATAATATTCGAGAGAAAAGTAGGTCTCACCTTGGGCACACATTTTTTGCTCGGCTAGGGTGTGTAGATCGACTTTCATTGGAATTTCTATAGTTATTTAATAGCTTGAAAATCGGTGATTCTTATAGACGGCTTACCTTCTTGAAAAACCTTTCTATTACGCTGTAGCAGCGAAGAATCACGTTTTGCACTCGGACCAGTTAATCTGTCGCTTGAATTTATAATGGTTTGTTGGTAATGAAGGATTAAGGATAAAGCTCTAGGCATTGATCAATCTTTGAGGGATGCGCCATACATTTGTCTTCAATTTTTAACTTCGTTAGAGGTGATTGAATGTATATCTGGCCTTTAGAATGACTCGAGCTAGCCTCCCGCTGAAGCGAGTTGGTGCTGCTTATCCTCCCAGATTTGTCCGAAACCAGTCTGGTACCAATTCGATGACGCCGGAGGGATGGATGGCATGGTGAGCGATGAGCGCGAGATCGAACCATTCACACCGTGTGCGACGCAGAGCACCCTAACCACCGCGCTATGTGCTCTTGGTAAAATAAAATGAAAATGGAAAGTTGATACTCATAGGACTTTGAAACGATGTCTTTTCTTATAATTCCATAGAGGGTTGGACTCCTGAAGTACAGAACTAATTGAAAAATGCCTGAGAGAATCGATGGACTGGCATCGCATGAAGTGCAAAAGGTCATTTTTGACATTTTTTTTTTCGTTTTCCAATTTTAGAATGACATATTGTGAAACAAAGGGCATCAAAGCAACGCAAAAATTCTACATATTTTTCAAAAGGGGAAAAATTTTTAGTTTTTTTAATAAAATCGTGTTGCGCGCAGCGAACTCAACTGCTGTCCTGAAAGGATTAAAAACAAGTTCAACACTTTCATCTGAAAAACTAGCTGAGAGCAAACCAACGCAAGGATACGACGTCATAATGGAGAAAACGAAGCTAAAAGACGACATGTACCTCACTCTCATTTAGAAAGCTATATCTGTAGTAAAAACGAAGGATGATTTCTAATTACGCCGAAAAAGAAATTTTGCGAAACTAGTTACATTCAAGTTAGACAGGAAATATACCAAGCGCTACATAAATTCTTTACTAAGAGGTATAGTTCACGTAAGACATCAAGTAAGTAACTAAAAACTAAGTTAGCGGTGCATAAATAAAATCAAGATTCCTCATGCTTTAACTGCTTTTTCGCAGTGTTACGATGTATAAATATACTGAGAGAATTAAGTGGTGAGCGAAAACTCGACCTCGGACGGGAGTTGAACCCACGTTTCACCCATACCGAAGGTGCGTGCTACCACTACACCACTTAGGTCACCGATCACCGCTTACGCATATTTGCAACATCGTAATACTGCGAAAAAGCAGTTAGAGCATAGGAAATCTCGATAATTACGTAAGCATAATAGTTGTCAGGTGAACTGGGTTCGGAAAGCGATATGTGCCTGCCCGACCAAACCTGCTAACGGCTTATGGCTGATAGTTATGATAATAAGATTTGAAAAATAAGTCGGTGGGTAAGCGGTAGCCTCGGTGGTGTAGCGGTAACACGCACCCCGACTGAGTGAAACGCGGGTTCAACTCCCGTCTGAGGCCAAATTTTGCTCATCACTCAGCTCTCTTGTAAAGCAGTTATCTCTTATGATTGACAGATAGGAAGCATCCATGAGCATGAGAACAGTTCATAGAACAAGAGAATAGCTGATTTCCAATAATATATACACAGGTGAATTTAAAGTGAAGTGAAATTTCAGAACTTCATAAAAAAAGTGCGCGACATTGGTGATGATGAGTATTCTAGATACGATGAAGAACTGAAGAATAAAAGGACAAATAGATTGTTCACGTCGGCATCGCACTCGTAAAATTTAATCAACAGACTCAGCGATGCTGACCGAAGAATCAAAGGTTTTAGTATACGCCAGTTGTTAACTCCGAGTTGGTGACGTACTCGAGTATGGAGAATGAGGATGATGAGGTAGTAATCAAACAGAATAACTCTAGCGGCAGCTCTAGCCGAACTGGGCAACGCTCGAATGAACGAATGCATGAATGAATAAATAACAGAGTACATGAATATAAAGCGATTCAGATCCTGCTGCAACAAACCGCCATCTTCTGGTATTGAAAAAATGGTTAGAATCTAACCTTAATTCAGAATGTCATCTCAAGTTCTTGTGCACTTTTAGTGGAACTCATTGCAAGTTCATGAGTAATCGAATATCTGCATTAAGAGGCGCAGCAAGAAGAAAAAATACCTTATGCTATGAAAGAATAAACGTCCGAAGCGAGTACCTTTTGGCTAGTTCAATATCGAGAAAGTATCAGTCAAGGTAATAAGCCGATTAAGAGTCGAACATACTGGTTGGCTCTAACGTGGAACTGGTGTGATTTTGAAAACCTTAATGATGTAAACTTGGAGACTCGATAATAAAAGTAGTTTGATCGTGTAGCACAGTGGGTATAGGTGCTCTAAAATACAGCTGTGGTACTTGGTTTGATCCCTCTGAGAGCCGAACAAACCAAGCTCATCCGTTTAGACTAGGTAAATTACTCATAGCTCGCGTAGTAGGGCAAAAAAGGACGGATGTGATGGATAGGTAGGCTCTCTTGTTTTGTATGGGACATATTTGCATCCAGTCTATCGCTACGAAAGGAGCCGAGTGCATGCGCATTTTGAGGAACTGATAAAACCTAACGCTATTTTATCCTTGTGTTTCTCTTGTTTTCTCCTTTCAAAAGTGTTCTATCTCAAAACTCAAAACATTGACAATATAGAATGAAACTTGTAACCTAGATGTATCTCGTGATCTATTTTCAACGCGTTATCGTTTCCATGTATCACTGTCCATCGCTCAGCTCAACGGCTTCCCACAATCCCATTGTGATTAGGATTCCAATAACAATGGAATTTTAAGATCCTTTGAATTGTTGTGATAGGAGACAGCAGTACAGGTGAAGAAAAATGACGAAACTGATCAAGCTGTGACAACGGGTTCAGGAAAAAGTATATTCAAGTTTTATATTACGAAAATTTTCTTCGCAAACCGTCTCCAAACTGGCTGTAATATTTGACCCGGCTAAGAAAGCGTCTCTGTTATTAATCCGTTACACAACTGACGCTTTACGATTGTCGTCACCATTGGTATAGAGCAAACAGTACTAAACTGTTTGTTTAGCCTTTATCACCAGAAACAGCGATCACTAAAGTACGTTTGTAGCGCTTGAGACAACTTAAGTTCTCTTTGTTCCAAAATTACAACAAACAGAAACCACATTCATAGCTCAAAAAGAAAGGGCTTCTTTGGAACACACTGACCGGAATTGCAGGGTTCTTGTGATCATCCAGCCACCACTGAAGTACTGTCTTATGGCAGATTCTGAATGATATTGTAGCATTGCGCAGCAAAACTTGCCTTTCAGGAATGTCACTCAAGCTAAAGAAGCTTAGCATTACATTTGGTTGAGAGAAAACCCGCCGTTTAGTGATTTCCAGGAAATCTTAGCATTGTGGAAAAAATTTAGATCTTCCACAATCCTTCCTCCGCTCCAAACGTTGAGAATCTCCGGTGGTGAAGACGTGGGAACTAAATGGTATAGCCTGCTCGGGATATCGAGGGCTGAGGTTATACTAGATTATCGGAATACCAGTTACTTGATACGACGAACTCCATGAGAGAATGCGAAAAAATTCAATCAAGTAGTGAATTGCGAATATTTTGATAATTCATGGGATCGCAGACTGGTTCTGATTTCTCTAGAATATTTCAAAATAATAGATTGAAGTTAACAATCATTTAGTGAACATCTCAATCAACCTATTTCAAAGCAATAATCCTATTTGTGCAGTTTTTAATTACTAGGTTGAAGAAAAAGTTTTTTAACACTCGCTGTAAATTCAAAATTAATACGTAAATCCAATTAAAAACAACTATCATCATTCTTCAAAATAAAAGCCATCATTATCCATGATCTTCTGCCAACGATCTGCACGCTTCCAGATCTAATCAAAATCGCCATCTCTTGGGTTTTGAATCAAAAAAACTCTCCATATGCTTCCTTGAACTTGATCAAATCCCTCGAAAAGTGTCTGCACAGGGAATGTTCCATTGCGGCGGAGTTCGGACCATAATCAGACGGCGCAGCATCTGGACTGTGGAATGGGGTGCGGTATGACCTCGATTCCCTCCAGTTCATCAAATTTTTTCTTAGCCTTCTTTGCGGTGTGAGGTTTGGCATTGTCTCACTAAAACAGCGTTCACTTTCGGCGAATCAGTGTCGGGTACTTTTCCTCTGACGGATCGTAGACTCGGCCCAGATGGTTTCTTATGGAAATATTCCTGAGACATTTCCATGAATTTACAATATCGATGCTGTCTGAAAGATGCATAAAATCTGAAACTTTTTTTCTGAATCTAATAAAAGCTAAGCACTTAACCGCTCAAAGGGAGATGCTTCAGCATTACAAGCACGATTCAGGATATGGAAGAAAATAACCCATTTTCTCGGCTGTAGGATTAAACGCCATTTTGTTTGTGTAGACGTTGATTTATTACAAGAATGAACTATTATACATAAGTTATTATCTAATTATTCTTGCTGTGGTTTAATGAAAGTCGGTTCTTACGACACCATATATGTAATAATCAAAAAATAGTAGAATATGACATGCTAAACTATGGAGGAATTGCTTTTCAGTGGAGCTCAGCCCAAGCGGTCATCGGATCCAGGCGCTCGACGTTAAAACGACGATGAAACGGTATCAAATTTCAATTTTCAGATGCTCGTCATCAATTTTGAAGCGAAATAAGAGGGCACATACACAGACGTTAAGGCTGCCGAATCCTTTGGCGAATGCAAAATGTCATCGAACATGCTCAGGTATTCTTCCCACTTGACTCTACCTAATATGGTTAACAGAACATGGTTCATTCAGCTGTAGCGCACTTTCAATTTTTTTTTCATTGTGAAGCAAACAGAAGCAAAAAATCGTACAATGTTTGGAGAAAAGAACACAAAGATTCTCTTCGTGTGCAATAAAACTGACCTCAGAAAATGAGAACATATACTATTACTATTTTGTGAGCATAACGTTAGTAATTATTAGGCTGGAAAGAAAGTTTTGGGGCAATCGCAAAAAACTGAAAATATATGCATGATATCCAAACAAAAACGATAATGACTATTCTTCAAAATAAAGACCATTATTTTCTAAGAGTTTCTGCCATCGGTCCGCCAAATTTCGGATCTGAACGAAGTCGACCACTCCTTCGACTTTGAATCAAAGAACTCTTGACATGCTTCTTCAACTTTATCGAACGATTCTAATCGGCAACCCTCAAATCGGTGTTACACTGATGGGGAAAAGGCCAAAGTCGGATGGAACTATAAGCGGGATGCTGCAGAACCTTGACTTCGTCCAGTTCATCAAACTTGCCTTTGGTCTTTCTAGCAGTGTGCTGTATGGCATTGTCTTGCTGCATCAAAACGATCTTTCAGCTCACCACAGTCGAGAACAAAGTGGAAATAAAGACGACTAGTATCCGGATCTTAAGTGGTAAAATCCCACAAAAGAAACTTTAGTATTCCCGTGTATGCATGGGAGTCGTCTCATGCTTACTAAAGTGCCTCGGAACTTCCTTTTCATCCGTACTATTCTCAGTATGAACAAAGCGTGCTTGCCATCATTCACTAATATTATGTATGCTTGCTCTACTATAAGGCTTTTGTAACTATCTTAGTTAATTGCCTTTCAACCAATTGTTTTCTGAACCTCGCTATAAACATTCAATATTGTGTGCGAGAATGTTTTAAGCCTTAATTAATTTTAATAATTTAAAACTACGTAAGCCACTGACGTATTAACCTCGAAAAGCCTTAGAACATCTCCTCAGACTAGAATTTAATTAAAGTAACATTCTTGATCACATTATCGCTCCTATGTGTCAAACCGTTCTCCACCGCAAGTGGTCCACGGCTCACCTCAGCTCTGCTAAATCTACTCAGTCCCAAGATTTTAAGCCTCCTAATTGGAATTAAAGTTAGGAATGATAATCATTAATCATGAGTCTCGTATAGTTAACTTCCCACTGAACACGTAAGGAAGTATTCGTGTACCAAGAATGGGATGTTCACTCGCAAAAGTGAAACTCACTATGAGTTAGTGACGAGAAGTAACTAATGTTACTGATGCTCGATCGAGTGACTCAGTAGTTGATGGATGTACAGATAGTGCACTGATTACAATGAAATGTCATATTTAAGATCTCTTGCTGTTTCAAATCCTCATAACCTCATTCAGAAAACATGCTGTCGCATAATAGGAGAGCCGTGGCCGACTGTTGTGATGTTGGTCACGACGGGTGTAAAGCCAAGTTCCACCCTTACTTCTCTCCAGCAGTCAACAACAACGTATTGTGGAACGCCGCAGCAAGGCTATCCCTGAGATTGCAAGGACAGTCGCTTAACCAGTATTCTGCGCTATTTAAGAAGAAGACGAAGAAACGAACTGATTGCTAAAAGACTGGGATCAGCACATTGAAAAACACTGTGATGACGGATCAAATAAAGTGCTGAATAAGTGCCACCGATTAATA